AAAAAAAAAAAAAAAAAACTATTAGTATATCAAATAATAAGAATTTTTAGTTAAAACTAAATTGAAGTAATTGGTTGATGCATAAAAAAAATAAAGCATTGAATGAGAAGGATGAAGAGAAAGAAGATGATGGATTGTCAACAAAAATGATAATGGAATAAGAATAAATGAATAATGAAATAAAAGGAGAGATATTTGCGAAAATAAAAATGGGAGAATATAACAAATGAAAGTAAAAAAAGAAAACGGAAATTAAAATGAGAAGAACTTGAAAGAAAAAATGGGATATTTTACCTGTGGAAAGGAATGAGAAGTGGAGAGGAAACCGAAGATGAAAAGGAGTAGGCAATAGGATGTTCTAGTTTTAGAGCCCTTATATAGTCAAAATATATTCAACAGAAAGTCTATTGATTATGTTTCAAATTTAATTAGTCGAGAGATTTAATTTTTTTGGGTTGAATGGGTGGGATTCGAGTATAATCGACAACCTAATTTATTGTCAATTATGTTTCTATAATCAATAGCCATTATAAATATAACCAACAGCCACTGGCTGTCGATTATAGGCTCTATTTTTTATTTATTTATTTTTTTTTTGTATGACAACCCGGTATCCGAAAACCCATTCGGCCACCGATGGCAAAGCTCTCCCTCGTGAGTTTTAACGGAGTTGCATTCCTAGGGCTTGAAACCAAGACCTCTGGTTGAGTTGGAAGAATTCCCTGCCAACTCATCCACCCACTCACGACTAATGTGCTATTTCTTTAAATTGATGTTCAATAGGTTTTAATTATCTTATCAAGAGGTTTGGTTTATCTAGTTCTTCCTTTTTTGGGGGGTTTTTTTTGCTTAGTTTTTTTTTATTGATTATTCTGTAAAATTTTTGGTTTTAAAGTTACAAAGAATCAATTTTTTTAGGGCTTGCACTACTAGACATTTGATATTTTGTTATTATATATACAAAAATATATATATAATATTAATAAAAAAATCTAATATTTGATAATGTTAAATTTTTATTATCAAATTTATAATTTATAAGATATGTAATAATTATAAATGGTACCGATGAAAGGTTAAATATTAACATATATATTTATAAAATTTTGACATAAGTATAATCAACAGCCATTGGCTGTTGAATATGAGTGCAAAAATTTTATAAATATACATATGTTAGTATTTAATTTTCCACTAGTAACATTTATAAATATTATATATCTCGTAAATAATAAATTTAGTAATAAAAATTTAATATTATCAAATGTTAGATTATTTTTAACTAATATTATACATAAATCTACTTTGATTAAATTAACAATTCTAACATTACATATTTATAGTTAATTTTGTTATTATATATACATAAAATATATATAATATTAATAAAAAAATAATCTTATATTTGATAATATTAA